ATGGATTATTTCCCTCCCTCCTCTTCCCTTGGCAATTTCGAATGGATGGCGAACGAGCGAAAAAAAAAGAAGAAGAAGAAGAAGGAAAAGAAAGAAAAAGGTGGGGGATGTACAATGGCTCAATCACAGCGACAGAAGAGTTATCGCGGCTGTAGAAGGGGAAATTAACCGTGATTTAATAGCGAGAATTTTCGGATTCACCGCCATTGCCTCGTGTAACTCGTTTCAAACGTTTCTCTATCGTCCGTCTCTCTCGTTGCCTAGCGGCCGCGATACACTGCGTCTCGCTCCCGCTCTCTCGGTATCAAATTCAACGTGTCGCGGAACGATTCGAGCGGAACACGACGGGCAGCCTGATTTTCCTGATGAGTTCAGACGCCGTCGGTGAAATTAATTTCGCTTCATTTCGTGCCGGGTTGAAATTCGGACGGGAAAATAAACGATGGCGGGCGGTGAACGGGGGGAGGGGAGGGAAAAAGTAGGGAGGGGGAAGTGTGGAGTCACGTGTGTTCGAACACGTGATTATTAAGGCCGATGGGATCGGATGGAGACTGGTTGCTAGATTTGAGGGTTAATCTTTTTTGTTGTTTCTTCTTTTTTTTTTTTTTGGTTTTAACTATTCAAATAATTAAGTATTTATTAAATTCAGTAAAGGAAAATGTACGAGTAGATAATTTGGGAGTTGTGTTATTAAAGTTTCTGTCAAAAATTTTAAACATTCACAGGAAGGATTAAATATTTACAATCGAAGGGGAAAAAAGGAAAATTACATTTGCAATGAATAATAAAATATAATAGTAAAATACGAAGATGAAAGGACGTATCATCGTCGTTGATCTAATATTTCCAGTGAAATCGATCCAGCATTAGAAACACTGAATACTCGACGCCATTATTCCCTTATCAAATTCTCGTTCGTGGAGTAAAATCGAACTTTTTTCCCGGGTTACGATCGTATTACAATCGCATTCTCGCTCGACCCGACGCTCGTGAATTGCATCGCATTTTCCACGCTCAATACAGGAATAAACGTGTCGGTTTCCGGTGCGAAGGAATTCATTTCATTTTGTCACATTCAGAATTAACCGATTAAAAAAATATCCATTTCGATCCAAGATAGGCAATCAAGACTGATATTTTTTTCCAATTATTTTATTCTATACGTTATGACTTCAGTATCGATCGATATCGAATGTAAGATAATTCCAGCCACGATGAAAATTGTTTGATTTAAAACAATTGATTTAAATTCTTACTTAAAATTGTAATAGTATAGAATTTTTCGATAATTTTTTGAAATTATCAAAATTAAATTCTTTCATCTCATTTGGACGGTACATAACATCATTGCAATTCCAATGGGATTGTCGCAGCAAATACAACGCATCCCTCGAAAAGAGAGGAAACTCAAAAAAATATTTTTCCATCCCTCCCTCCGTATTCTACCATCACTGTTGCACGATATCGTTTCTCAACTGCGGGAAATTTCGCAGCAAGATTGCACACAGCGTGATTCCATTGCAGGGAATACAATGCAACGCTATAATAATCCTTCCGAGAAGGGAAGGGAACTGAGAGAAATCTTGGAAACATCTTTCTCAGCTTTCAGAGAAGGAAGAAGAAGAAAAAGAAATATCTCTCCTCGAGAAACGATTATTTTCGTATCGTTCAAAATTCACAGTTCTAATTGGCCACCCTCAACTCACCCAGCACAATAATCCCAGAAGAAGAAGAAGAAGAAGAAGAAGATGAAGATAAGAGGGGAGAAGTTGTAAAGATCGCGTAGAGGAAACGATATTCGTTTCGCAACTCAAAGCTCCAAGAACTTCCGGTAGAAGTTTCTCCCTTTCGCAGGCTCGCAGTTTCGAGTTTCGATATAGTCGAGCAATTTTCGAGATATTCCATCGAGTTAGCGCGGAAATTGCGAGATTCGTTTCGAGAAATTAAGAAGGTAAACGGCTCGTTTAACTATCGAAGACGCGTTGGGGTAGCTAGCCTCCTCCTCTCCCTTCCTCCTCCACGGGTACGACTCGTTCCCTTGTTAATTCCGTATCCCTGATACGATGACTTCATCCACTTTATTCCCATTGTCGGTGGAATTCAGTAAGGGACGCGTTTCAATCTCTAAATGGACGTGTCTTGGGAAGATTCTTCATTTAAAACGGGGATGTCTGACTGTTCGCTGACTGTTTCTACCTGATGGCGAAAGGATGTATCTTTTTTCACCCGCTCCTCTCAATTCATTTTAAAACGCGCTAAAATGAAACTACTCGTTTTATTTCTTCAAAAGAAAGGTAAGAATATTGATTTTCTTCGTCGAGATTTTCTATCCGTTATTATATATTTTTTTTTTAATCCTTTAATAACGAGAATATGATTCGTATTAAATATACGTTTTAATAATTAATTATTGTATGAATAATATTTTTTTTTTACAATTAATAGAATTGGTTCAAATTATTGTATATGTATGTGTGCTCTGTTTATTATATATTGAAATACTTAAAATTTAATTTTTAAGTAAAGTTGGAAAGCTTTTCTTGATAGTACTTTTAACTCTCTTAAGTGAAGTTGGAAAGCTCTATGTAACTTTTAAGATTCTAAAACATTCTAAAGAATAGAGATTTCATAATAATAAACTTTTAACATTAAAAGTAATGATATATCAAAGTGTATTAATTATTCCTCCCTCTTTTTATTTTTTTTCTTTTTTATTTTTCCTTTTATGGATGTAACAACAAGGTTTTAATGAAAAATTCGCATTTTCCACGCATTCGAACGAAATAATCTTTTATAACTGGGCAAATAGTTACACGAGTGCTCTGCATTTACTTGCTAATTAATTAAGGTCAAACATATTAAATTTTTCATCGTGTAATGGTATTTTCATGTTGCTCAAAAAGATATATATATATAAAGGAAAAGATTAAACGAGAGAAATATCTCGTTGGAAAATATAAGAATTCAACGAACGTATTTTCCATCATGTTAGACGGCTGACCATTTATTCCTCGTACTACTTGCCCACCGTATCCCCTGACGAAACAAAATTAAATTACATGTAAAATTGCATGTAAATTGAATTTAATAAAAATATGGCAAATTGTGAAGGGGAAATAATCTCGTGCGACAAAAATGTAATTAATACATTTGCGCACCAGCATTTGAAATACGATGAAAATGAAAAATATTATATTATATCGCTCGAAAATTTTTTTTATTTCCTAGCAAAATATTACGTATACAAAATCAAATGAAACATGTTTTCTCGAGCAAACTTTCTTCTTTTTTTACCGCATTTCTGTGATTCTTTCGTTCAAAAAAAAAAAAAAAAAAAAGACGATGAAATGTTTACTCTTCGCACAATATTTTTCTCGAATACGTAATGTTATGCAAATATTTAGACTTGTGTGTGGTGGAAACTGTTTCTGCTACGTTTATGAATAAATTTCGCGAAATATTTATTGCTACTCTAATCTCAACGTTACTTTCATACGTAACAACGTTATTTAACTTAATACTCCCTTCGTGTTTTCGCCGATCAACTTGAACTTGAAAATTATCACGTTAATTAACTCAAATATTTCAAAGCCTGGACAAAACCATCTCGACCAATTCTTTCGTTTGAAATACGCGCCAAAACAATCCTGACTTGTATTTCCAAAATGATTCCAAACGCCCGACTTCTTCTCTCGAGGAGCATTTTTCCCAGCGCCAGCCGGGGCGAGGAAGCCACGTGAGAATCGCGGCAGATGATGCGAACCACATTCCCCCTTCCCTCGTCGGTGAAAATGATAACGTCCCGTGGCTCTTTTCCGGCTTGTCGCCATGGAAACGGGCGGGGAAGAGGCTTCCTTCGTCGGATGGAACGGAAGATGAGGCGCAATTAAAAGCGCGATTAGCCTCGATGAATCGTCCCATGCGTTTTTGCCCCGTGAAAGCACACGCGTTCCCCTCCTAACCTGGGGGAGCGGGGAGGAGTGATTTTTTGACATTTCTTTGGGGGCGGACTCACTTTTTGCGGATGAATGGAGCACGACAATCACAGAGGCGCGAGCTCTCTCGGTTGATTAAAGTGGAATTTCGTGCGTACCGTAAATGGAGATTGCCTCGCTTCCAAAATATTCTTACGTGTCTTTAAATTTGTTATAACATTAAGTAATTATTAGAATTTGATTAATTATGTATCGGTTATTATGTTTAATAATATTTTCAAACGTTTGTTTAGAAACTAGAAATTTTTTTTCTCTATGCAATGAATGATAATGTTATATGTATATAAGATGCTTGTAGTTAATAGTAGCGTGGCGCTAGTGTCGCATTCCCAGTCGCCATAACACGAATAATAATTTAAATAGATCTTCCTTTGACAGATATTCCGATGCATCAAAATAAAGCGAAGAAAACTTGTTCTTCATTCGTCTATTCGTTCTAGGCCAATATCCTGAAAGGAATAGACGAACGAAGAAAAGGAAACTTGGAACACGAGCATTGATTGCACCGCAAGCAGATCGGTTTTACGCGAGTAATTAATTTCCGCTTAGCCGGAAGACCGCTTTTAACCGGTCCCACGTCCCCTTTTTACGGCATTACTGCCATAAGGTAGCGACATAAGCGAGCGTGTAAACGATTCCACCGAACGGGGCGCGGAAACGCGAGGGCAGATAATGACCCTGCGACAGGAGTTACAGGACAGGAGTTAATTGGCGAGGGTTTAACATTCGTGCAGGGTAAAAGTGATAAAACCGAAGAACGAAGTGGAAGAAAAGAAAGTTAAGAAAAAAAGAAAAAAGAAAAAGATAACGGAGAGATGATAAATGAAACTAATAACTTCTTCGATGAAAAGAAGAAAAAAGGAAGTACACGGTGATGATTTAAAAGGTGATAAGAATTCTTGTTCGTTTTTTTTTTTTTTAGACGAAGAGGAAAAAGAAGAAATATTGTTGAAAAGTGTTATCGATATTGAATAAAAGAAATTGTCAATGATTCTGGATTTTCACTCTCCTCTCGTCCAATAAAGAAAACGAGGGAGAAGAAGAAAAGATATCGACCAAGAAAAGCAACTAGTAATAAATAAGAGAAATTATTTTAAATTTATCTTTATTCTCTCCTCCACAAAGGAGGAAAGTATCCTCAAATTCCAGCACGAAGAAACATCTTTCTTCGGTGAAAGATAAGAAGAAGAAAGAAGGAGGAATAATATAAATAAGAATCTCGAAAATCTCTCTTCCTCCCTTCTCCTTCTCCAAAGAAAACTCGAGAATATAGCAAACAACGACGGATAAAAAGAATCGACCCTGGATATCCTGATGAAAAAAAAGGAAAAAAAAAACACGTGACTTCTGAACTTTCGTTTCTGAAACGAAGCAATAACGAATAAAAGGAATTCATCCTCCATTACGAAGATATCCAAGCGAATTTTCGGATCGTTTTCATTTGCAAGCTGTTACGAGTGTAGCATCTGCTGCTAAACGCTATAAACAGCTTTACTCGACTCGTAATGGCGGAAGGTGGAGTTTAACTTTGGAAGTAGGGTGGCCTCGTCAGTGCACGAGAGAGGAAGAGAGGGAGGCAATCCTCCTCGTTCCCTCGCTAGCCAGCGCACGGTAATAGAATGTAAGTGCAATAATAGAGTCGCCACTTACTATCTACGAAAACTCTATTTCGTCTTCCGCGTCGCCATTCCTCTCCAACTCCTCCCCAACCCCCCTCGGCAAACGGTCCATCTTCAACCCGCTTCACGTTCTTCTTTTCCACCATCACCCTTTTCCTCCTCCTCTCGGTTTGCTTTTCCCGACCCTGTAATCGACTACTGCGCGTACTTTAGAAGTGCAAAGGCATCGCCACCCACGTCCATTCTCTTCTCGGGATGAGAGCGACACGGATGATGAAAATGGAATCCGAAAAATGGGTTTATGTGTGAAGAAGATGATTTGTGAATCGAAGGCGGAGTTGATTGGGTGAGGGAAGAAAGGAGGGAGGGTTGGTTGGCTTGTTTCTGGCTCGAGGATTTGTTTTAAACGAGGATGAGTTTCTTATATGCTTGGTTTTATACCAAGCGATGAAAATTGGGGTGGTGGAGATATTTTGGATGATGGAAGAAAGAAAGAAAGAAAGAATAATTCAAAAAATTGTATCTCCTCGTTAATTATTTGGGTGCGTAAAAAAAATTTATACGAGTCAAACTATCGAAGAGGATTTAAAATTTCTTTTTTTCCACCCTTTCCTTCATCCCCAATTTTTCCCTCGCCCGAACGACAATTACACCACTTATGAGCAAAGAGTAGTAATTTGAAGTAATTGCCACGATTGTTTAACGCGCGTTCGAAGCGCGCACTGTTCTAATGGGGCCGAGATACAATGATACACGCGGCCATTAGACCCGGAATATGGTATTGTTCGCGCACCTTCCAACGATAAAGACGCTGTTTACGCGGCGATAACGACGCTAATCGTTGCGAATGATGAGCGTCTTTTTTAAGGAAAAAAATAAATAAAAAGGAAGCTGGCGTTCGTTAGCCATCCGCGTTCGATGAAAGGGGAAAAAGAATAACTTTGTTATTTTCAACGATCGTTAACGAAGCAATCGTATCACACGAACACCCCATTTTTTGCGATTCTCCTTTCTAGTATCTCGTTAAATTCCGAGGATTCAAATTTCTGGCCGAAAATAATGACTTATTTATTAGGAGAATTATATAAAGAGATTGAATAATTATTACAGCCTCCTTGATTATCGAGTTGAAATCTCGAATAATAATAAGAAATTGTTAAACTTCGAAATTTTATAATTATATCTTTTCAATGGTAAAAAGAGAAAAAAGTCTCTAAAGCAGTATTCAATCTTTCGTAGACGCGAGTATTCTGAAGGAAAAATTAAGAAAGGCTACCCGATGTTGGCCGAGGTTGCCCGATGTTGGCCGAAATTGCTCGAAAACTATTCACAACCGATACTGAACAGTCCTAAGTTTAAAAAATCGAATTCTACTTTTAATTTATATCTTGTCATTCTTGAATTATAATGCACTCGAATTAAATTGTTTCAAAGAAATTTTTAAGTTAAAGTAAGTGCGCAACTTGTGTAGAGAGGTTAGAAGTAAGTTGCACAGAAGCAGAATTGTACCAGTCAATTAATCGATTCACAAACAGGTTCGAAATGACTTTCCACGATGATAAAGGACTCTTAAACTTCTTAAAGTAACTCGATCGAATCACTTAGAGGATAGCTTGTCTCTTTTAATATCTGTTCGTAGAATCTTCTTGATTAAAGTGGACCAAGATATGGAATTATTTTAATAACTTTAATAAGTAGGAAGATGGAGAATAATTAATTCGCCTACTTATGACAGGAGTTGTTCAACTTCAATTCTTTTTCACCTCGGGGAAATAACTAAATCCGGATTAACATCTAGAGGTCGTTCTCACTTTTAAAATTAAAATAATTAGAAAATTTTTGATATCGTTCCTTCCTTGGATAATAATTTAATCAAATCAAATATTATTTCTCGATAAGTAAATTTTCATTAGAATTTCTAATTCGCAAATTTTTCAATTAAACTCGATCCGAATTAATTTGGAAAAGAGGGATGTACCTTTAAAATTATCGATTTCACGAGTTGCGTGTCGAGTGAAAGTTGAAACGGTCGACAACGTCAATAAGGATTCACCACACAGGCTGTTCGCCCACGGCAGTTTTAACGACAACAATTGTACCGATAATACAGTGTCTGGCAATCTCCTCGTGGGCGAGCGGTCGGACTGCATGATTTATCGCCCAGGAAATTGACAATTAGCTACGGGCCGATCGATGCGGCCAGAAGCTTTTGGCAAGAAGCGTGTGCCGGACGGTTTCCAGTAATTTAATACCGCGGATAGTTGAGCCAGATTGAGACTGACATTGGAGGAACCACCGGCGACATTTCGCCAATGCAATTTCGATTGGCATGGAAGGGAAGAGGAGAGAAAGAAAAACAAATTTTAGGGGTAGAAAAAATTGTTTGGCTCTGTTTTAACCATTCTTCAACGATAAATACACAATTGGTCAACGATCTTTGACATTTATTTCTTCCTTGTAAAGATTTTTTCTTTTTTCTTTAAGTTTCGTTGATTATTATTCGAAACAATTCAACACTTATCTATATATAGAATTTTAGCCAGCACAATTTTAAAATAATTATTAAGTTATTGCATAAGCACTCCAATAATTCATTAATCAATACAATCTAACTAACGAAATATCTTCGATCGAAAAATTCACAAAAATCAAATTATCAAGCCAAAGTTTTCTTTAGTTTTCTTAAAACACCCTAAAACAATACATTTTCGAAGCAATGATTGTGTGCAAGTAAAATAAAATATTATCAGTATTTTTATTTTAATTTTTTTACTACTTGGAATAACTTTAACTTAAAAAAAAATCAAACAGTGCTCCTCGAATCATCAAGTTCCATCGAGAGTGATGAAAAAGTTTACGAGACTCACCAAGATCTACTCGTCCGACCATAAACACGTCCATTCTACTTAATTCGTCCACGTTTCATTCCCAGCTCGATCCTCATTTTTCAACAGCGAAATTTGCTGATGCTTCGTTCGCAATCTACCCAAACTACCGCTCTCGTTAAAAAGTAACACATATATATATATATATATATATATATTTGATTAGTTCCCTCTCTTTTGCGTTACTCAACTCTTGGTTACTCGTGGCTGTTTTTCCTCTGCCTCTACCTCTTTTTCCGCTCGAACATTTACGCGCACACAAACGTGTTCGCCTTTTATATTACGAGCATCTGCTTTATAACCGAACTTATTTGTCCCTCAGAGGGGAAACTCTTTTGTCCCGGGGTTCTTTGTCCCCCTCGGCCGGCTTTATTGACTTGTCTCCTTGTTGTCGCCCGCGACGTTTTCGCCTTAATGGCGAACGGATAAAGATTAGACGTCGTCCTCGCTCCACGTGGAACAACAATACGTGCTCGATACGCGGACGTTCGACGTTCGGTATCGATGAAGCGTTTACCACGGAACAAAAGCGGGGCTAAGGAGTGGCTCCCTTTTGTTTTTTAAATAGCGACGAGCAACTTTGTTTCGTCGCAAAATTGGTATAATGGTTTATTATTCTGGGAAACAATGGGATTTTAACCGATTAAAGAGGCTTGAAAGTTCGATAGAATTATTTCCAAAAATGTTTCTTTCTCTTTTCCCTTTTTTTTTTTTAATCTATTTTCGAAAAACTTTGGTGAAACGAAAGTCAGGATTGATGTGATAATTTTTATTAGAGAAAGTAAATCCGATATATTGTTCGAGTAGTGTTTTAGTATTCGTCGAAAAGAAGCGATACAATGGACGGTATATTTCCGGACTTAATTAAAATATTTGACAAAGATATGAAGAGGAACTACTACACGTTCCTACTTCATTTTTTAATAATAAATCTCGGAGAACACAAAGTTTAGACAGCCTACCTGCAAGCAACCTGTTATACACACCATTTCAACAAAGTTTCAAGTTAAAATTTTCACAGCATTTATTACGAAGAGTACACTGTTTCATTTTCACATTCAAATTCGAATTAATTTATTATTCAAAACTTCGTGGAAACAAACTTTCTAACGGAAACAGCTATTGCATAACAGGTTGCTCGACGTCAGGGAGACCAACCTTCTCCAGCCATCTTCTAAAGCTCGGTTGTTAAAAATTAAAGTCAAATTGCCGTACATTTACAAAAAAAAAAAAAATATAACTCTCGACATCTTTTATCGTCCCCTAACACCCTATTCTCACGTTTTAATTTTCTCGCTTGCAAATAAATATACCTTTCGATACTTCGAGCGAAAGTTGTTGTTCGGGCGGGTTGCTCGACGTAAGGAGCCTAACTTCGCCATCTTCAAAACTCGATTACCAAAAAACGGGGCAAGATCGAGCATACGTCCGCCAGAGGAAAAATGTCTCTTTCAACACCTTCTACCCACCCTCTCGCCCTCGTGGCTGCGCAACAAAATTCCCTTCCGTGTCCTACATTGTCGATTAATTTTCGAGCGTCGCGTTTCGAATTTTCACGCCTCGTAAATATCCATCGGTGCAAGCGAGTCGGGTAGCCCGTATGCGCGGCTGTATTAAAAAACGCTTTCGCCGTAAATATCTCGAGCCTGTAAACGATAGAAAGAATAACGGTGGAAACGTGCAGAGAGATGCCTGTTTCCTCCTTCCTCCTTTCCTCGTTCTTCCTTTTCTCCACGCGTCAAACGAAAAATCGAGATTTCGAGAATACAGAATTCGACGCGGAGGATAGATTTTTCGGTATGGGATCGAGGAGGAGGCAGGGAGGAGGGAGGGGCGGGGCGTGAAAGTTACGGCTGGGCGACTCGTTACAACTTTTTTAATGGCAGTGAGATTAGTTTTTAAACGACTTTCCGCGTAGTTGGGGAAATTTTCATGATATCCGGAGAACATTCTTTTTTCCACGGTTCTCGACGTGTGACGTCGTGTGGATTGTAGAAACGAGACGTGAATCTTACGCTCGACGGCCAATTATATCGACGTTGCGCACAAGTTGCAACGTTTTTTTTTTTTTTTTTTCACTTTGTTATACGTTTTTGCGCGCGGAAAAGAGAATGCATGGAAAAGAGAATTACATTTTTTTTTTCTTCTTCAAAGAAAAATCTCGCGCGCAGTATACGCAAGTTTTTTTAAAGTAAATATGTCAAATGTTATACAAACTGTAAACAAAAGTTTTTATTCTAATGAAATAATCGAAAGAAAAATTGGATAAAGTCATGATTTTAATATTCGATGAGATTGTGATAGAAAAACTCTTCCCTTCTACTTTTGACTAATCATATTTCTTAACAACAATAATAGAACACTAGAACGAATTATATTCCATTTTACATTACGAGATAACAACAAAAATCGAGAAGTACGTTTCGATCTCTACTTCCTTTCTAAACATTTCCTCCTCTGTCTTCTTCCAACTAAATTAATCAAACTCGTGTAAAGACTTTTCTCACCTGACACTACTCTGACGTCCCGAAATGAAACACCGCAATTCCATAATGTTAATCCCATAAAAAAAAAAANAAAAAAAAAAAAAAGAACGAATTGCGCGGAATCGAGTCGAATCTAATAAAATTCAGAAACGAATACTCTCATTCGAAAATAAAAAAATTGTTCCTCCTCCTGGTTCGATCGAATATCGTTTCTTTTTTTTTTTTTCGTATCACTTTTTTGGATGGTTTTAACCAACGTTTCGAACGAAATCAATCGCCGCTTCCTATCGAATATATATATATATATATACACACACGGATAAAAATCGCGGTTCCAGTAATTATACCGAGTCAGCTTTCGCGGAGGAGGGGAGGTGAAGCCGCGAAACGCGATTCACCATTGTCTCCTCCTCCCTCCCCTCCCGCCCGGTGGGGAAGAGGTGGAGGGGAGGGGCGCGAAATTAATTGGAAAAGAGGAGTCAAACGAAGAGCGAAATTGGTAACGCGTCAAAGCACTTTTGAATAACGCTTTCGAGGGCTTTTCGTAGATGGAATGCTCGCGTGGCCGTTAATCAAACCGTGAATACGTTGCCCGATATTAATACCTTTCCCCGCGAGTAAATTTTATATACGAGATATTAAAACCGGGGGGAGGGTAAAGCCTCGATCCATCGACGTAACTTCCCGCCAACCAACTCTCTCGATCGATCTCGATTGTATTCCGATTGTATTATCCTCCCTTTGTGTGATATTTCGTTTCGTTCCTCTGTGTGTGTGTGTGGATTTATAATTGCTCGGTTTATCTTCCCTTCTTTTTTTTTTTCCTTTCTTTCGTGCGACGTTTTCGTTAACATTGCATTTCGAAGGTTCGCGTGAAATTCACTGTATTTTGGAAAACGTGATTTCCAGAGATTATACAGGGGGACGAAGAATCTGTTCGAAATTTTGCGGGATCAATCAATTAGGAGGAGTTTTATTTTTTTAATGTAAAAAAATAATAATATAACATAATATCCATATTATCTCTCTACTAATTAATTGGTATCACTTCCACGTGAGTTTGCTCAAACCATTTTAAAATATTTATGGAAACTCTCTGTCTCTCTCTCTCTCTCTCTCTATATATATATATATATATATATCTATCTTTTTCTTTCTCTCTCGACTCGAATGTCCAAATATCCTCGTCGAAAAATCGGCCGAGGAACGAATTGCATAAGTAGCGAGAGACGTATCCCCATGCAGATGGACCGGAAGGAAACTTATGCAACGAGAGAGGGGGGGAGGAGGAGGGTGCATCGATCGCGATGCGGAAACGAACTTTTTGAAAGGAGGCAGATTATTCGAAACGGAGGTCCCTCTTCCTTTCGTAACTGCTCAATACCAACAACATCGAGCTTTCTTTCCTCCTCCTTGCCTCTTTCCTCTTTTTTATTACACAGTATACGTGTGTATATATATATATATATATATATTTTTTTTTTATCCCCCTTCCTGTAAGCGCATCGAAAGGAAGAGGAGGGATTCCTTTAGATTACTTGGGCAAATAAGAAGCTCAGAGAAGGAAAGCAAAGGAAAGGGTCTTTGAGGCGAGTTTCCAACGAGTGAATAACGGGAGCGTTAAATAAATTTTTGCCGAGTACGTCTCGATTCAATATCCTCTTTTCGAAAAGGGGCCGGGATATTGTTTCTCCGCCCTTTCTTGCCGCCGATGCCTCCTTCGTTTCTTCTCTTTTCCAACGATGCGCCCCCCTCACCTGTTAACGCTTGTCTTCCGATTTTTTTTTTTTTCTACAAATGTTGGGGACGAACGACATCGCGAACAGAACATCGGACGGAATGAAAAATTGCTGGGTTATTCTTCTGTTTCATTCCTCGTGATCGTCCTTGGACTTTTCTTTTCTTCTTCTTTTTAAGGATTTTATGGATGAAAGTAATTTTGAAATGTAATTTTTTCGAGCAGGTGATTCGTCGAAGGAAGCTCGAAAAAGTAATAATCTTTTCTTTTCGCTCGATAATTTAGTTCGATTAATAAGTTGACAAATTTGTAAATCATTCATCTTTTCTGGATAGCGACAAAAATAAATAGTAAATTTCAAGCGAGAAAGAAATATTGATTTTCGTGGACGAGGAGGGGGGGGGATTAACTTTCGGATGCACGATACGTTTACAATCCTCTTTTTCTTTCCAACAAATTCCTGGTTAATTAACACGATTACGGGGGCCTCGATGTTGTTTTCCAGGGCGGGATTTCGCCCGTCAACAAGATTCCCGGCCGAAATGAAGCGGGATTAATCCGCGCGACAGCCTCTAAATTCATTAGGAAGATTAGAGGCGTAGCCGGCCGTTTAAATTGAATCGTGAAACGAAATGTTACTCGTGGCGGACAAAGTTTCGCGAGCGAGCGACGCGAAAATGGGTGTTTAATCGATTTCATTTCGGATTCAAAGAGAAAATACGTCGAAAATATTACTCTTCCTGTATATAAAAACTTCGATATCGCGAATGGAGTTTGAATAGGGAGTATTATCGTAATTTGATTGATTGTCTTGTCCTTTTCTAGACGCGGAACAAAGTCATCAAACTTTGGACTCGCATCTTTTTCAAAATCAAGTCAACGCTTAACTCGAATTAATATTATTCGTGTTAGTAAAAATTATTTAACCTTCCTTACCCTCTCTTTCATCAAAGCATCCTCTCTCGATTAATAATGAGAGCTGCGTGAGAAATATATTTATAATTTAAAAAAAAAAAACAAAATAAAAATCACTCTACGTCTACGAAAAAGTCAAAACCATTTTCTAATGCCATTTCGAAATATAAACGAGTATTAACTCCTTATAAACTTGTACACTTTTCATCGCCAAATATATCAACAAACATATCGCAAATGAAATTTCAATAAATAATTATTTTGTTTTAGATGCGGATGGAATCGCATTTTCTTAAATCCAATCGAATTGCATAATTGTTATAAAAAAAATTACTTCTATTTTCTCGTGCGAGAAACGAGAAATAAACCAGAGATGACTCTCAGAGTTTTATTTTTCAATTATGAATATCCCTGGATCGAGGCGCGGCCGATTTGGCGGATGATCCCCTCCCCCATTGTGTCGGGCCGAGTTGTCGATAGTTCCGGAACAATTTAAAACTGCAATCGATCCCGACACGGGTCATCGATACGCCGCCAGGAGTTGAAGTCCCTCGGGGATCCTCTCTCTTCCACTCCTCCCCTCCCCTGAAGTAATTTAATAACAGATCGGGGGAGGATACGAGAAAAATCGGATCGAATCGACGAGAGAGTCTTCGCGCTTTTCTCTCGATGCGCGCAGAATTAACGTTTAATTAGACGCGATTCTGGTGGGATTCGCACGGCTCGTGAAAGGAATTTGCTTTATTTATTCGAAATTTCTCTCTTTTCGAAAGAACGAAAAAAAAAGCTTTTCTATCTAAATTTCTTTTTCCACGTGTTATTGCGAATTATTAAATTGTTGTTGGAAATTTGGAAAGATAGTAGAGAATTGAAAGGAAATGAAAAATCAATTGCATCTGAAATAAATTTAAGAGGTTATACTCGACGAGTGAATATCATGAGAAACGTGTTATATCCAACTTGATCTCTTCGAATACTCCTTTCGAAATTTCCAAAAATCTATATGAAAATGAAAGTTTCGTGTTATATCCTATATAAGCTTCTTTCTCAACATCACGTTCCATAAATTTTCGAAAATTTATTTCGAACGCGTGAATTCTGACGCGCTATTTAATTTAGAATGAAAGGTATCATAACGATGTCCCTGAGGCACTCTAAAAGTCACGTTCCCTGAAGAATTAAGGGAGAACGATGGGACCAGATCCCAGTTTATAAGAACGTAATGAAATTATGAAACGGCTTAGCTTTTTTGAAGGAAGTTTTTAACGACGAGAGTTTCGTTTCGGTGAAAGTTTTTCAGATCTTCCGATCCGAATCATCTTCGAAAGTGTACGCAAGGAATTGAGAAGAAAAAAGTCGTGCCCATAAAATAAATAAATCGTTCATAAATTAAATTTAAAAAATTTTTTTGAGTAATTCTCGTTTCCTTTCTCGATTCGCATTGCCTTCACCTCGATTTTCTTGGAACGATAAAACCGAAGCTTGAGTGGTCACGATTACAGATCGGTACAAGCGTGAATCAGCAGTTTCGAGTTTTATAGGGCGGAGCTGAGGGTTTAAAGGTTCGATGGGATTTTCTTGTGTGTCAATTTCACGTTGCCTCGGGGTTGCAAGCAAAGTGTTAGTCAAACAGACCGTCTTAGAATTTTAAAAAAAAGTGTATACCGCATTAACTGTACTAAAATAACATATAACATTTAATATATCAAAATATAATATTATATTTAATTATTATACGTATTATTAACGTATTCAAATACATATATTTTCATATCGCATAAACAAGTATGAACGAAAAATTAAACAAGCTATGAAACAACATTACAACTTTGTCGACGAGTTTATAGGAGCCTTTTACACGACTCGTTAAATGGAGTTCCATCGTATTGAAAAATTAACGATCCACCGTTCAAGTTAAATCAGAGATCCTCGACGATGGCCCGCGTCCCATTTTAACATATCCAAGCAAATATATATAATACGTGACTTCGATACGAGGTCGGATAAATTTCCAGTAAATTTCGCGCGGCCTGCTGTACCAACGATCGATAAACCGGTTATAATGCTTTAAATTTTAACGCTGATCCCACCCGTAACATTATTATCGCACGCGTGTACGCGTGAAACGACGATGGAACAACCCTCCTTCCCCCCTCCATGATGAATAGCCAATGCAGCCAACTTGCTCGACTTGTTTCCCGCTTATTTATACCGATTTCTTTCTTTTCGAATCGGCCAATTCGTTTAAAAGAGTTTTTTTTTTTTTTTTTACGTAAATGACTAGAAATGATGATAGAGATCGATTAAGAGTTTTCTATTGAGGATTCATATATATATAAATTTAGATTATGATGAGGAAAATTTAAATAATCAGATGTAAATAAATTGAGGAGAATTTAGAAGAAATAAAATCGCAAATACTGGATCGATGATTGTTCAATCTCCACGTACGAATCAAAGGAGAAAAAATCAATTTCGAAGCAATTTCGAATAAACTGATCGAACCAGAAGAAAAACCATTTTCAGAAAAATGATACAGACAGACAAACGAAGAAAAAGAATTCAAAGAATTCATCGAAGAATTCCTTCTTATATTCCATTTTCAACGCGATGATACATCTTTAGAAACTTAAAAAAAAAAAAAAAAAAAAAAAAAGAAATCGAAGAATCCAAGAGATAGGATAGATAAAGAAAGAAAAAAGGAGGGGAATAAGAGGGTAATAAAAACTTCGAGGAATGTTTAATGACGCGGGTAGAGAAAGAGAGAGAGAGAGAAGGGTGCGGAGGTATTCGTTTAATTTGTTCGAAACTTCGGCTAAGTGTTTAATTAGTTAACTTTGCATACTGCCGCGGCCCCAGGTACGCAAACACTTAGTAGGTAAATT